ACATGTATGCATAATAAATCAGTGAAAGGGCTGAGTTGAAATCCTACAGTCCCCTGCGAACTGAAAGATCATAGACAACACGGCCTATTAAAAAGAGACATGCTTTCACAAAAGTTTCCGCGAGATAAATGAACAAATGCAAAGGTAAAGGAACCGTGTAGTTCTAGAATGACTTCAGCTAATACAATGCCTACCTCAGTTATAAATTCCCGAGTAGTCTTGATAGTTCGCTTGATTTGTCACGACGAAAAAGTCTACGAAGAAGTCATATTTTGCAAAACAAGTCAGTATAAAACTTTTCCTTCACATAATAACCGGACTTGCACAAAACTTACCTATAACCAACAATCAACCCTTGTACCAATAAGAAATTAAACCTATGTGATTTTTCCCTTTCTTTAGCTTTCACTTTCATTTTGATCAAATTACGTCAATAAAAGTGGCGTAAGTGCTTCCAGAAATAGCTCTCGAAATGCAGCCATCCAGTGAAAATTTGAAAATAATAAAGCATATGAGGGATTAGCCTGAGGGAGTAAAAACGACTCGAACTAATCGTCTGTAATCCCGGATAATGAGGGGTCAAATTATATCTAATATACAGTTATGTCTTTTGGTGATAAGCTTTCCTTTCCAGCCAGATGTTTCTCTCACTGTTTCGGATCCCACGACAGAACTCTCGCCTGCTATTATTTTTGCAACCGTTTACGTGCTGCGAAGCCATACGTCACGTGGTTAGTGTCGAATCATGACCGTCGAATCATCATGAAAATCCGGGTAGCAATGAAATCAGCAGTAATGAAGGTAGCCGCTCAATAGAGGTTTACTTTCCCATTCTTTCCCACAAGTATTTCGGAACTTTGATTACTGGCCGTTTAATGGAGGATGGCCGCTTAATAGGTGGCCACTTAATGTTCACTTAATAACTGTATACAGGGTGGGCTGATAAGGTCTGATAACCATGTATGTATAATAAATCAGTGAAAGGGTTGAGATGAAATCCTACATGATGGGTACTATCGCTGAAAAAGTCCCCTACGAACTGAAAGATAATAGACAACAAGGCCTTATTAAATAGAGACACACTTTGACAAACGTTTCCGCGAGATAAATGACCAAATACCGTTCTAAGGTAACTAGGAACCGTGGAGTTCTAGTATAACTTCAGCTAATGCAATGCCTACCTCAGTTACAAATCCCCGAGTAGTCTTGATAGTTTGCTTGATTTGTCACGACGAAAAAGTCTACGAGAAAATCATATTTTGCGAAACAAGTTCAAGTTTAGGTTCAACTGTATACAGAGTGGGATGATAACCATGTATGCATAATAAATCAGTGAAAGGGCTGAGAGGAAATCCTACATGATGGGTACTATCGCTGAAAAATTCCCCTGCGAACTGAAAGATTATATACAACACGGCCTTATTAAACAGTTTGCGCGAGATAAATAGCGAAATGAGCGCCGTTCTAAGGTAAAGGAACCGAGGAGTTCTAGTATAACTTCAGCTAATGCAATGCCTACCTCAGTTATAAATTCCCGAGTAGTCTTGATAGTTCGCTTGATTTGTCACGACGAAAAAGTCTACGAGAAAATCATATTTTGCAAAACAAGTTCAAGTTCAGGTTCAACTGTATACAGAATGGGATGATAACCATGTATCCATAATAAATCAGTGAAAGGGCTGAGAGGAAATCCTACATGAGGGGATGGGAAAAAGTCCCCTGCGAACTGAAAGATCATATACAACACGGCCTTATTAAACAGAGACATGCTTTGACAAACGTTTCCGTGAGATAAATAAAGAAATGCGCGCCGTTCTAAGGTAAAGGAACCGAGGAGTTCTAGTATAACTTCAGCTAATGCAATGCTTACCTCAGTTATAAATCCCCGAGTAGTTTTGATAGTTCGCTTGATTTGTCACGACGAAAAAGTCTACGAGGAGATCATATTTTGCAAAACAAGTCAGTATAAAAGTCAATTGCATTTTCCTTCACAAAATAACCGGACATACACAAAACTTACCTTAAGCGACAATCAACCCTTCTACCGAGATGAAATTAATCCTATGGGATTTTTCCCTTCCTTTAGCTTTCAGTTTCATTTTGATCAAATTACGTCAACAAAAGTGACGTAAGTGCTTCCAGAAATAGCTCCCAAAATGCAGCCACTTCGCTGATGGCTTGTTATTCTACATGAAGATAGAATACTTTCAAACGATAAGAAAAAGGGATTTTGCAGAAAGTTCTAGAAAATGTTCTGACTGTCGGGCATTTCTGCCGGGCATATAGCCTCAGCGTTATTGATAGAATCTTCCACTGAGGAAGTTGGTCTGATACTTCCTGTTTTTCTCCGAACACTGCCGGATATGCTTCGTGATGAGTGGAGGATGCCTATATACCGAGCCAAGACTCGAGAATTTTTCGCTTTCCCGCCATTCTCACCTCCTGCAAGTCACATGACCATTAAGGGCCTGGTTTACCCTAGCAAGCGGGTTAAAGTTAGCTCTTGTTTACAAGCAAATTTTATTTCAAGTAGGGTAACCCTATCATCCGGGTCAACTTTACCAGCTTTACTGACGTGTTTCGTCACGCGTGACATTCTTTGTAACGTCCAAGATTTGAAATAAGACTTAAAGTTCTCTATGGAAAACACGTTAAATTCAGGAAAACACGGAAAAATTATCATCATATGCAGGAAATACCTTATATTGTTCAGATGTTTATAATTTAGCTCAGAAATTGAGTAACTCCGTTCAAATTGTCAAGATTACTGGTCACGCA